AAAAACAAGTCGTGAAGAGGATGTGTAGTGTCCCAGATAATCTTATGGATCCTGCTCAAGCAATGCTTCTGTGCTATGTCCTGGATGGGAGGGAGGGAACTGTCAATGATCTTTTTGGCCATTCTCACCACTCTCTGCACCGCCTTCCTGTCTGAAGCAGTGATGCTTCCAAACCAGACTGTGATGCTGTATGACAGGATGCTCTCGATCGTCCCCCTGTAGAAAGTGGTCAGGACAGGGGAAGGAAGATGTGCTTTTCTCATGCGACACAGAAAATGCAGGCGCTGCTGTGCCCACTTCACCAGTTTCTCACTGTTGAGCGACCAAGTCAGCCTACTCGTTAGCTGTACACCCAGGAATTTGATGCTGGTAACCATCTCCACAGGTGAATCATTAATGCACAGAGAAGTGTGGCTGTGCCACACACGGATTCTATGAAATCTGTGGATTGCTTGATATATGGTGGGTTACACAAATTTGATTTATTCAACAAATTTGTGGGCTTGTGTGAGAGACAGTAATGGAAGAAAGGAGAAATAACATTTCCGTAAAATATATACCATTTTTTTTATGTAGAATTGATTTTTTTTTTAAAAGGTCACACCATCTTCCCCCTGGTCGCATGACTGCCATTTTATATTCTCGGAAACCTCTTCGCCTTTATGCCTGGTGGCCGAGAACTCTGCAATCATGTTTTCGGCCTTTGCAATCTTCTCTGCTGGTTCCCCAAAAAATCAATGGAGAAGCTAGCAAGGAAGGTTATAAGTACATTAGAGGGAATTTCGGATTTAGGTCTGTTCCTCCAGCACAAGAGAGATTTTCTCTCTCTCTCTCTGTGTATCCTCCCCAATACTGGAGGAACAAACCTTGAATCTGACCAAAACACTAGCATTGAATCTGGCAAAAACAGCAATGAAGGTCATTATTCTGAATCTTTCAGAATGCCTGTGTTCACTACTGGTTTTGCAAGCGCCATAATTTCTGCCTTTCTGGAGGGAAAGGGGCTATTCTTTTCCCCCCATATATTTTATTGATTTTTTGAAACATAAATCACTTAATAGTTGGTAAACAGTGTGTTTTCTGGGTTTACATTTGTAAAGAAAAATAATTAACAATTGGTTTCTATAATCCATAATCCACATAGTACATTTAGTTGATTTCCCCTTTTCCCCAAAATGTCTTCTTTGCAAACCTTGAAATAAATACACTTATTATTTTGATAAATAACAGTTACATATATGATTTCCCCCCGATATTCCTAGAAATAATGATCACATCAATATAATATTTCTTTTCTATCTAATCACTCTGGTTGCCTCATCTTATATCCTGTTACAGTCCTTATTTAGATTTGTTTCTCCCATAAAGTTCAAAGTATTCTTGCTGGTTAAGGTTTTCTCAACAGTTAATTACATTTAAAGATTTAAATCCATTTTTCCCATATAAACCATCTCAACACTTTTAAAGAATAGGTAAAAACAGTAAACAAAACAAGAGTAAAGAAACATAAAAAGTAAAATACTACCTAAAATATATATTCCTCCTATGCTAATATATATTCATTCCCAAAATTTCTTATTCTTTTTAACCATGAATAAAATATACAGTGCATTTAATCTTTAAATATTTCATTTAATGTACCTAGTCATCTAATCCTTTAACTCTTAATCAAAACATTTTTTTTCTTTTTTATACATTATAATTTCCCTAAAGTCAGACACCTTTAATTATCTAAAACATTTCCTTCATCTAGGCCATTCAGCAGTATTATATTACTTAAATCAAGAAATAAAATAAAAGGGGGGGAAAAGCATACAGTATTATTTAAGGAATTCATCTCTCTTAGAATGACATATGTATTCAGAATGTTTTCTATTTCTTTAACAATATTCAAACAAATGTTTCTTTTTTAAATATTCTCTCTTGTAGATCCCATCATCTATTTTCTTAATTTTCACTTTGATCTTTTTCTTTTGACTAGTATCTTTCTTGATCAATGTGTTTTGCTGAATCAAAAAGTTTTTACATATATTCATGACTGTTGCTGTAGGTATAAGAAGTATATTGAATAAAGTGTCTTTATGTGAGGCTTTTGCCTTTCCATGTTTCTTGAAAATGTTTTTCTCTTTCTCCTTCTTTGCTTCTCTTATCATTTCCTTCCTCTCTGATGTTTTCAACATCTCTACATTCCATTTTATCCAATCTGTTTTTTTTGTCCTCAGATTTATTTTGTAGTCTTAAGGGATGGGTTGTTTTTTCCATTTCTTGTACATTTTTTCCCACCAGGATTAAATCATGTTTTCTTGCTTTGTTAAGTTTTGTCTTTGAGTCTCTATTTTCAATTTTATGTCCACTTATTTGTTTTGTCTGCTCCTTCTCTGTTGTTGTTTCCTGGAAGTTTTTTTGTTGTAAAGTTAACTTAGAGACAGATTGATTTGTATTTTCAAAGTTATTTTGGATTTCTTTGTGATTTGAACTCAGTGTTATTTGAATTAATTGCAGTATACTATACATCTCCTCATGAGAGGTATTTATGTTTTCTTGGGTGTATTCTGTCTACATGTCTCTGATCCGTGATGGCCAAATTTGGAGTTTTCCTTCTTATCTGCAAATAGCTTTAGAGTCCTGGTTAAATAGATATTTGTAAGTCAAAGAGTTCAAAAAAGATTTTTTCCCTAAAGTTTATAATTCTCTCTTTGTCTGCAGCCCAGATTGTTGTCTTTTTCGTTTTTCTTTTTTGTCACAGCTGTTCTTTATTATTAAAGCTTTGAAGGTCACAAACACAGATTAGCTTTTTCCAGGTTTTGGCAAGTTCTCTATGGAAATCATAGTTGTCATAATCTTCATCCACCACTAGGTGTCAGCATCTATTTAGTTTTCAATACGAACAATGGTCTTTAAAATGAGAGTCTTAACCATTCAACAATCTTAAACTTGTCTTAAATTTTAGCTTTCAAGTTCATAAATTTATTTCACTACCATATATTTTGATCCTCCATTGAAATTTTAATTCGCTGCTTCCATTAGCATAAGAATGGGGCGGAAGTCCCCCTCCTTCACTTTCGGAGGTATTTTGCTTCTTGGGGATCTTTTCCAGGAAATTAAGTACAGAATAGAAAAGGAAAAATCAGATTCCTCACCCAGTTTCAAGCACGCTGTTTACTGTAGTGCTGGTTAGTTCTTTTGGACTCCGGTTGCAAGTAGCTTGGGCTGATCTATGAAATACAGCCTTTCTCCTGTCAGGTTAGAAATATTTTCCCAAGACAAACGGAACGACCGCTGTCATTCCAGAGTCGTCGGGGGACCCTTCTTTCTTCGTCGCCCCTCCGGGCCAGCTTGGACCCATTAGGGCCATGGTGGCAAACCTATGGCACGCATGCCACAGGTGGCATGCAGAGCCCTCTCTGTGGGCACGCACACCAGGGCCCCAGTCCTAGGCCTTCAGCTGGGTTTTATAAAACCTTTTCGCTTTAGGCCTCCGCCACCGTGTGCAAAAAAAAGGTTCAATCAATCAATCAATCAATTTCAACTTCTCGCAGGAAAAAAAAAGATCTCGCAAAGTTGGAATTGATTGATTGAACTTTTTAGTCCCATCCAATCTGCCGTTACCACCTCAGCCATACCCAGCCAATTGGCCACACCCAGTCAATTGGCCACACCCAGCCACTGGGCCACGCCCACCCAGCACCCGATGATACATAAGTGGGTTTTGGGTTGCAGTTTGAGCACTCGGTCTCTAAAAGGTTCGCCATCATTGCATTAGGGTCTCCAGGCAGGACGAAAGTTGGCTGTGGGGGTGCGGTGGTCCACAAGCCCGCAACCAGTCGCTACCGTGCAGGACCAGAAGTCTCGGAAAAGGGCTATTCTAATTAGGAATGTATCTACTACTTCTGTTCTATAGTGTTGGCTTGTGTGAAATGAGAGTAGAGATGATGAAACATATACTTTCTTATTTGTTTTAGAGAGATATGCATCTTGTATGTATCATATAGTCAAAAAAAAGTACCCATATTTTGTACAATGGTTATTAAACCATGTCAACAGTTCATTACAACAGAGTAGTTTTGTTGGCAGTACTTCAAACTTTGGTTTAATATTTATTCTACTTTTATATAAAGCTGACACATTATTTCTTTTCTTTTACAGCTGGTCCATGTCAGTATTGGGTTATCTAACTATTAATAGCTGGCTTAAGGGAATTCATTTTACGAATCCTTTTCAAGTTTTTAAAATAAGTCTGGTTAACATTATTACAGGTTAGGATCTATCTTATTCCTAAGAACAAATTTATTCTTAGAAATAAAATACCTAGCTCTTTGAGAAAATAGATAGTGAGCAATAGTTAAGCTAGCATGAATTATCTAGTGAAGAAAGATTGTAAACCCAATCTTTCCAACCTGCTGCCCTTCAAGGGTGTTTGGCTTCAACTCTCACCCTAAATTATTAGCGATTAATGCTAAATTAATACATATTCCATAATTTCATATTGTGTGGACAGTATTGGACGGTACTAGAAGAAGGTTTCTGTAGATCAGTTCTAATTGTATATGACATTAACACAAGACTTGGGTATTCAGGAAGATCTGGGTTAGTTCATTCCAAATGAGAGAAGATCAATTAAAAAATCAGCAACACATTTTGCCATTACCAATGACTTTGAGTTTCTCTTTTTACTCATTCTACTATACCTAAATGGAATTTTGCTTTGCTTTTTTCTGTTTTGAATTAGTGCTGTATTTATGTGGCCATGCAGCTTCATTGGATAGCCCAAAGTTGTCAGGATATTTTATCTTGAATCACAAATGACCTGCTCACTATTTTAGTTGTGATTTTACAGATATACATGTAGATATCTAGAAAGAATTCAAATTCCGTGAATCCAATCTTGAAGTTTTAGATTGATACTGCAAAACTAACCAGTGAAATTAACAAATATATCTTTTGATTTTTTTTTTCTCTTTTCTTCCCACAAGGAACTACTAATCTTTTTACAGAATTTGCCTACGATGCACTGGGGAAATGAAGATATCAGTGTTCTCCTTGCTGAAGCCTACAGACTGAAGTTTGCATTTGCAGATGCACCGAACCATTACAAGAGATAAAAAGAAATTACGAAGTGTGGCTCTGATTGTGACACCAAATCAGTTTCTATATTGTGGTTGTGCTGGCACACAATTGTCTACTGTTGAGCAAGAATCTATTGGATTACCAAAGAAATGAGAGTACAGGCTTGGGGAAAACATTGTGTACTTAAAAAGAAATATTCTTGTTCACCGATTAAAAAAAATAAATTTTATTTTCATTATGGTCCCTTTTTTCTTTAATAATTGAGTTACTCTGCAAATGTGTTATGTTCATTGGGATCTAATGACTGATTATGTTGTCTCCATCAATTTTATTCCTAGTCAATTATGTTCAACATTTTGATGGAAGTATTTTTGGTGTCTGAGGTACATGCAAGCTAACAAGAATAATCAGTCTTGCATTGAAAATGAGTACAAATAAATTAGGCAAAAAGGTCATATAGAGGTTGTTGCACACTTATTTTGTTCACAAACACAGGATATTCAACTCCTTTTAATAGGAACTTTGTTTACACAATGAAACCCAGGAGTAGATTTTTATGGAACACAATATTTAAAACTTGAAAATAGTGCCACATGCATGGTGAAATAAGATCCTCAGATGTTTTACTCAACAGTGTGCAGATAATGTTTACTATGTTATTTGATGTTAAGAGTTTCCAAAATATATTGACTATAGAATAGGAAATAAGTTTGGCTTGCCATAATGTATTACTAAGTTAATGGTTTAAAACCTTTTTGAGCATGTAGATCTTTTAGTTTCAATATTTTCCTAGATAAAATCTTACTTTATAGATGAAGAATATATTTTGATGTGCTAATTGCCTTATGTTGAATTTATGATATGATGGGGCACTTGATAATGTGATTTGGTATGAGTATGGGTATACCTCAGAATATAAGCATGGAATTGCAGTGTGTTGGTCAGGGTTAGAAAACTGCACTGATGAAGTCTTTTCAAATCTACTCTCTTGCATCCATCATGCAGAGTTCTTGATTAATTAAGACTCAATTTATATTAAAAAATGTATGTTTAGCAGCAACTTATCGAAGGAATTCAGTGAAAGGACTTTATTAGTAATGTAAATGATTTGGCTTTCTAAAATATTCACCAACCATTAATCTTTTGAAGAGTCCAGTTTAACAGACTCAAGCAGTTAATGTTTCCACTACATTTTTAAGCAAAAGGTGATTTATTCTTTTAAGACTATCTTATCTCACATACAATTGACCAAGCCAAGTGTTCTTGATCTTCATATAGAGCAAAGGTTGTTGCAAAAGTAACAATGATACCAGTATGCTTCTACTAAATATGATCTATGAAAACCTCTTTATCACTCATATCTTCACTAAGTCCTGAATCAATCCAATCTATAAATGGAGTAACATAATATTAGGAGCTCTTCAAGTGTGCCTTTAAGTCTTTATTTGAATGCCTTAGTGTGGTTGTATATGTTGACTTCCTTTCTGTATGTATAGATGCCAAAATACATGATAATTACAGGCAATAGAACTATTTTTCTGGCCTTTCATAGGCTGCAAAGATGTTTCAAAGTTTCTTGTTTAAAGATATTTTGTTCAGTAGAGTATTTGCCATATTCTCTTTCTGACATTGTTTAACTATGCATTTGGATTGTATTGGGCAACGTGATTGTGAAACATACTCCAGTTCCATTTGAGTTCCTCATTTTCAAATGCATGCTTTTTAATAGCTTTATTGAACAAAGCAGAGTTGTTCTGTTATTATTGTAACACAGAAGCACAGTCACAAAGAGGATACAATTATTGAGAACTTCCAGATCAGTACTGATCTGAGGGGGCTACATTATTGAGGAGTTACACCATCACTTTCTGTTAAGGTATCTGTTAATTCTAATCCTATCATCCATCTACTAATATACCACACAGAGTCATTCACAGCCAGTGTATTCCAATAGATTCTTGACTTTAATCATATAATGGAAATAACATTTAGGAAGGTTCTTAGCCACAAGGGTTAAGAATGCTTAAACATAATGATACTTTAAAGTTCAGAGTATTATTATTTTTAAATTGTCAGATTATGTCAAATAAAATGTATAAAACTTTCCCCGCCCTCAAGAAAAAAACCTAATTGAAATGCAGTGAGAGTGAAAATTGTATAAATCATTACAAAAGAAAATAAGATATAGAGAACATGGATTTGTACTTTTTAAATTGTATAATTTGCATAGGAATATCTCGTATGTAAAGTGGGTCTGTTTTATTGTGTTAAATGTATTGGGAGAAATGAAAAAATCTTTGTTAATTCAATTTGATATGACTTTCAGCCTTTGTTAGGATCATTATTGCTTCCTCTTCAAAACTGAATAATATTTCACGCTGTGAACAAAAAACTGTGAGTGCATCAGAAGCAAAGGGTGCCTCTGTCCTCCGATGTTCTATAAAAATTGGGTATTTAAGACAGCTGATATCATTCTGCCCATCTGATATATTATCTGTGTACTTATTTTTTTTCCTTTGAAACTATGTCTTGATTTCTTTGTATAACTCAGGAAAAGTGTCATCCCAACCAGCTGTTATGTGGAAAAAATATTATTTCTGCCGCTTTTACATCCCTTTGTTAAAATTTTGAATTGCTATCTAATATCAATATTCTTCCATTTAAGATTTACTAATGTAGAAAAGATATTGGAACAATTCAATAATTTAGCATGATCTGTAATGTTATATTGAAGGCTTAAAGCCCTCTTGTCATAAATGCAATATTAATTGTACAGTGAAGATAACCAATTTCTATCTATAGTATATGCTTAGTAGTGTAAATAAAAACAATGTACTAAATATGTAAATATGAAATATGAAAGATACAACTATCTTGCAATCGCCTGTACATCTCAAATATACTATAACAAACTAGTTGCACTAGTCTTTAATTTCATATGGAAAAGCCCATAGATTTGTATTACATCAATAAAATGTAATTAATACCCAAGGTTTTGTATATATGTGTCTATTGTATAATTTTTGGAATTAATAATAGCATATAATTTCAAATGAATAAATCTTTTTATGTCACAATATGTAGGTATAACAGAGGAAATCCTAAAAGATTTTGAAATTATTTTAATGGTAAGGATTGTATGATGAATGCTAAAAAAATAAATGTGTATGCTGCCAAGTACACAAATATTACTAGGAGAGAGAAAGAGAGAGAAAGAGAGTCCAAGGTTTTGCAAATGAAGCAACAGACATTGTGGTAAAAGTTTAGTATTGACATCAAATATTGACCTTGTGCTTTTCATTTTTGCTCAGAGTTTTAAGATAATTAAGGCAATGTAATCTATTTTTAAAAAGCATATTTAATGAAATATAACCACTCTTACATGTGTTTGCTCTTTTACATAACTATTTTTGTCACTCAAGGCTTTTAAGAATTAAAAAATAGGTCTTGGATAGCTGAAGGGGAAAAATATAGCTTTTATGTTGAATATTGCAAAAATGAGATGATAATACTGATTCATTCTAGGTGAGAGAGTAGGATTTTGTATTTTAAGTTTTAAATTGTTTTGAATTCTACCCAATTCCTTTCTCGCCCAGCTCTTTTGTTATTTAGTAACCTTCCTAATAATAGCAAAACAGATTATACTACCTGTTCTGTAAAGATCCTTTTCATTTATGTAGGGATTTTTCCTTTAAATGCCCTTAAAAAAAACAAGACTGTGGCAAAACGTATGTGCAAAAGGACCCTGTTTTCCTTTGATTGTCTTACCATTGCAATCACTTTGCAACTAGTGATTCATATCATACTTGAAGAAAAAAAAATTTGGGGGGTGGGGTTTTCTTACTAAAGTACTGGAGACTTTCTCTGCTAAAAGAACATTTTATAGAAATCATAATAAATTAATCCAGCTTTGCATGGAGCCCTGCAGAGAAAAATCCAAGGAGATATATAGGTTTATCAAATTCTAAGGAGAAAATAATAGCATTAATCATTTACTTGGCTTTCTTCAAGCATATGATTTATTATTTCACTTTATAAACCTTGTTTATTAAGAATTGGTGTACAGATAGCACATATCTCTACGGCTAAGATAATGATAGTAGTCTTTCAATTTCAAATTATCTTGTGCCCATTAACCAGCAGGGTCACATCAAGGAGGTCTGTAGAAAGTGTGGATTTATGGAAGAAGGATTATTCTGGAAAACGAGCTTTTTTATTGTGTGTGATGGTTAAAGGAATATCTGAGAAGCTTATTCTGATCTATGTATTTCATCTAGGTGTTTATGTTTTTAATATATATCTTCTGGGATTTTTAACTTCTGCTGGAATATCACCAAACAAAGAAAAAAGATGAACTGGAACAAAACAACCCAACATAACATCCATATTGTGACTGGCACTGAGAAGTATAAAACAATCTAGCAAGAAACTCAAATTTCCTGGTCCAAAAGCAAACAAAAAATCATGATAGAGTAGCAATTTTAATGTTGAGCCTGAAATTGGACACATCTCGACCCTCATCCAGTCCAAATCTTTATTTTATTTTTTATTTTGGCTGGCTTTAAATCATCAAAATGAAAAACAAGAACTGCTAATATCACACTTTGGAGATACTTGTTTAACTGTGATTTATTGAGGTGCAGGTGGCCAGATTCAATTCAACATGCTAAGCCAATAAGCCACAGTTGGATACATATAACACTACCAAAATTAAGAGGAGTGAACGGCCCACTAATGCTCATATCCGTAACACTCTTTTCAGTTCCATAGTGATTTTATATTTTATTTGGAGTTTAAAAAAATCTGCAAGTTTTATGCCCTCTTTCTGTGGAGCAATATTCCAGGTTATCTTTGTCCCTTTGGGGCCTGGTTTTTATTTTTATTTGTAAAGTTCAGAAAGGCAGAGCAGAAGGATGCATTAACATATGCTCCAGCAAGAGTCTGCAATAATTCTGAATGGCATCTCTCCATTTCTTTCCAGTTTTAGTCATTCCTCAGGCTCCTTGCTGTGGCCTGATCATAAGAGGAGAGAGATTGCCAAAGCTAGAATGTAATTACCCCTTCCGGGCATCCCTAGGATTCTATTGATGAAACTTGCTAACAATGAAGTTGTATTTTATGCTTGGCAACTATCAGCACTCTGGACAAAAACCAAGAGATGGTGAAAGTCAGGAAAATCTGCCAATGCATCAT